CCAGGGCGCCCGGGCTCGTCGGGGACATCGCCTTCCCTCCGTCGCTATCGCTGTCGCCGTCGTCGCTGCCACCCCCGTCGTCGCCGTCGCCTCCGTCGTCGTCGTCGTCGCCGCCGTCGTCGCCGTCACTTGCGTCCTCGCCGCCATCGCCGTCGCCGCCAACGTCACCGCCGTCATCCTCGAATACCCAGTGACAGAGAACGTTAGGCAGCGCGGGCCCCACAACTGTGGTTTCCTGCCATTTGTGCGGTCCAGTCTAGGTGGTGCAATCAATGTGGTGCAATCGAGGTGGTGCAATCCATGCTGTGCAACCTGTGTGGCGCAAAGCAGTGCAACAACATGCAACGCAATGCAGACAAATGCAAAGCAATGCACCGCAAGGCAAAGCAATCTAAACCAATGCAACACAATGCAAAACAGCACGACACAATGCAGAACAACGCAGACCAATGCAACGGAATTCAACACACTTCAAAATAATGCAAACTAATGCAGGGAAGTGCAAAAGCATGTAACTCAACACCAAGTAACGCAAAGCGATGTCATGCGATGCAAACCGTTGCAACGCAATACAAAGCAATGCACAGTAGAGCAATGGCAGATCAATGCAAAACAATGCAAAGCAATGCAAGTGCAACACACTACGAAACAATGCAACGCAACGCAAATCAATGCAACGCAGAATGCAATGCGAAGCATTGCAACACAATGGAAAGAAATGCGAAGCAGTGCAAAGCAATGCAAGACCATACAATGCAAAGCAACGTAATGCAAAGCAATGCGATTGCAAAGCAATGCAACGCAGCATGGTCCAATGCAATGGAAATCAATACAAAGCAATGCAACACAATGCAAAACAGTGCAGAACTGGGCAAAATCATGCAGGGCTGCGCAACACGATGCGAAACAGTGCAGAGCAAAGCAGAACGAGGCAATGCGATTGCAGCGCAGTGCATTCGAACCACAATGATCAGCTATGCAACCGACGAGCGGGTGCCAGCGGACGGCGGCGACGGGCGGCGACGAGCCGGCCAGACCGCCACTGGGGCCCTACGGCGACGGCGGCGATGGGCGGCGTCGAGCCCGCTGGACCGCCACTGGGAGGCCCCGGTGCCTTAGGGCAGAAGTGAGAACTCCAAAGCACAAACGAGGTTCAGGGAATTGAACGTGCCGATTTTAAACAAGCGCGTTCCACTACTCGCATAGCAACTGCTCGCAAATGGCATGGGTCCGCCGCGGGGGATCTACGATAAAGTTCATCGAGCAGACATTTGTTTTTCGGATGTTTGCGAGTGGACACTTTGCGAATAGTGGAACGCGCTCGGTGAGATCTATGGAATCGGTTATGGGCGCTCTCGCCGAGATGCCGGCCACATTTTCCTGAAAACGAGGCCCCCGCTCGAGCGCGGGCTTCCCTCCAACTGTGGGCTGTGGAAGGCCTGGCTGAGACGACGACAGATCCCGCTCGATACTTCCTCGTCGTTTGCTCTCAGACGCCCTGTCCAGAGAGGCCCTCGAATTCAGGAACCGCACTGTGGCTCGCGAAATCCTTGCCATCCAGTCAGGTTGAAAAAGGTCGAGCTGCGACGGCACCGTCTCCCGCTTCATCCTCCCTTACATGTTACTTGGAGACGCTCTGGCCAGAGAGGCCGAGAAATTGAGGAACGGGAGTTGTCGCCCGACACCTCCTCGCAATTCAATCAAGAGGCCGAGCTGCGATATCAACGGCTGCGCTTCGAGCTTTTTCCACACATTTCTCCGCAATGCTCTGGCCAGGGAGGCCCCGAAACTGAGGAGCGGCACTCACGGCCGAGACGTGAACGCCATTCAATCCGCAGGCCCCTCGGGGTCCGTCGGCGTGTGGGATGCTGCCCCCTCCCCGAACCCCTTCCCCACGGAGCCCGGTCCGGTCGAGTTGGAGGGGGGGGTCTCCCAGGGCGGCCCAGGGGGGGGGTAATGTGCTTCAGAGATTCTGCCGGGGGGGCATGGCGGGCCTCAACACGAGGGCCCCACGAGACTTCCGAGACGGTCCAAGCGGGCCCCGAGTCGCTGGAACATCGTCCCAAGACACCCAAGATGGCCTCACGATGGCTCAAGATGCTCCCAAGACGTCCCAGGAGGCTTCGAAGAAGCCCCCCAAGAGGGCCCCAAGATGCCAAAATCGTTGATTCTCTTTTTTTCAAGAAGGTTTTGGCTTTCTCGCTGTTTCGGGCTTCCGACGCTCGAAGGTAACGACCGTTACGCACCTGAGGAGAAAGGCATATCTCCACCTGCCGATCCACTCATTATTCGGCCCACTGCGGGTTTCAGTCGACGAACAGCAAGTGAGCTAAGCATGAACTTCTGGAGGTCCGCGTGGATTCCTTGGATCGGCGCTCGAACCCCCTCCTCGGCGCCCGGAGCGCGTCAGGTGCGGCGCCGGAGGCCTCGACTGGGGGGTCCCAGGCGCCTCGAAGAAATCCGCGCGGACCTCCGAGAAATCTGGTGTATGCCATTTCCTGTTCTTCGGTCCATGTTTGGCGGCGCGCGCAAGGAGGTAAGGAGAGGGGGGAAGGATTCTTGGAAGGAGGCTGCTTCTTCGAAGGCGCCGGCCCTCACCCTGCAGACAAGGCCTGCGCCTTTCAAGAAGCGGCCTCCTCCCGCCCTCCCCCTGTGCCCCCCTCTGCGCGTGGCCGACCAGGGTTAGGTCGGGCGTGTCCCCATACAGGCGGATTTTGACCAAACATAAAAAGAACTACAACATGTCCCCAAATCGTGCAAAATACTCAGAAATCGCCCCCATACTGTTTTTTTATAACTATTTTTGGACATTCCCCCTGCAGAAGGACAGGCCCGACTTAAGACCAGGGAGGTTCTGTGGCCCGTGCTGCGGCGCGGGATCTTCGACCTCCCCTCCTCCGACGTCGCACTCTGCTCGGTGGCGCACGACAGGTTCGTGTCGTGCCGGCTTCGGCGTTGGTTTTTCTGGACGCCGCGGGGATTGTTCGACCTGGAACGATCGGCCGTTTCCGAAACGTCCAACTCGTTCCTGACTACCTACCAGACCACCCCAACCCAACCTGAAGACCCGAATTTCGGGTTGGGGGGGTATGGGTTCCAAATGTGTTTTTTCAATGTTCACCGAGCCCCCCCCACTGGAAATGGAGGGCAAATTGAGGCCTTCGGGTTGGGTTGGGGTGGCTTGGTGGGTGGTGAGTTCCACACCCGAACGGTTCCGGGTCGCCCGCGGCGTTCAGAGTTGAACGCCGCTGGCGGGGTCGCCGCCGGTCGGCACGACACGAGCCTAACGTGTAGGCTGCCGGGGCCGGCGGCGCGCATAGTCGGGAAGCGGAAGGAAGGAGCGGCATGTGGGGAGCGTCTGGCTGGCCCCGAGAGCGCCAGAGTGCACGAGGAGGGCCGGAGGCACGGCCACAGGATTGCCCCCCCCCTTCGAGGGCTGGAGGAGCCTCGAGCCCCCGTCGTGCCCAGACTGTTCCTTCTGTCAGCGTCCTGGCCGTGCAGAGGGGGGGGGGGATGGGGGCCTTCCGAGGAGCGGGGAGGGGAGCATCTGGGCGGCCCCCGCGCCTCCCGAGGGGCCCTCCTGGGGGTCCTCCGAGCTGCCTTCTGCGACGGGCATCCCCCCACGCGCCCCATCCCCACTTCAGGGCCCCCTGAACAATCGGTGGAGAGCGAGGGGGGGAAGTGAGAAGGGGCGGGCCTTGTCAGAAGGCTCGAAAGCCACGTCCTGACTCTGACCGAGCTGGCCGAGCCAGCCACTGTGGGCGCGTCCGCGCACAGTTCGGCGGTGGACAAAGCTCCCTTTAGTGAACCTCCCCTTAGTGAAAACGGCCTAAGACCGAAACCGACGGACCTGGACCCGCAAAAATGACGGCCGCGACGCCCTCTCGCGAGCCGAACACGGACAACTCCTCAATCGATGTGTCAGTCGCGCCTTCGGTCCAGCCCCGCTGCCCCCGTGGCCCAGCGGCCCGTCTGGTCGGCGGGGGGCTGCGCTGCCGGCCCGCAAGAGACGCTCAGAGAGGAGCGGCCGTACCCGCGCTGGCGCCGCGCGCAAGCAAAGGCGCGGCCCTGCCGATGGAGTGCCGACCTATTCTCTTCGATGATCATTCGGGGATGGACAGACCCCCCTTTAGTAAAACGTGGTTTAGCGAAAACGACCTCGGCCCAAACCTGGCGGGCGCAAGCCTGGAAAATAACGGCCGCGGTGCCCTCTGGAAAACCGAAAACGGACAATTCACTAATCGACGTGTCAGGGTGGGGGTTCTGCCCACCCCCGAATCCTCAGAACGTATGTTGGCGCCAACGTGCGCTTGTCCATGTAAGCGCTACAGTTGAGGAGATCAGTTATCGTGTTGGGAGGAAGGGGGTGGGAGGATGAAGGGCATGCTATGAACCATCGCATCCGGATGCAGTGAACGATCTACCTTCGGCCGCCGACGGGCAATGATTTCCTTATTTCTCCTAAGCCCACCCTCCCAACCCGATTACTGGCCATCGCTTGGACGTCCATTCCCTGTGTTTTTTCCGGTTTCGTGCGTGGCTTTCTCGCCAAATGATCAAGGATACTCCTCGATGGTCCTCGCCGGAGGAACAATGCACACGTCCGAGCGATGCCAAGATTATGGTCTTCCTGATCAATACGGAGCAGGCGGTGTGGTGAGGGCCGGCGCAGGCTGCGTGCTTGCAATCAGTGGAGTTAAAAGGGGGTGACGTGCACATTGGGCTCACACAGGTCCTGAGGATCTCCGACCCCTCCGACCTTCTGCTCTTCCCCCCCCCTCGCCATCGCTCGGACGTCCATTCCCTGTTTTTTTTCGGTTTCGTGCGTGGTTTTTTCGGCGAATGGTCAAGGATGCTCCTCGATGGTCCTCGCCGAGGAAAAAACGCACACGTCCGAGCGATGCCAGGACACAGGTCCTGAGGATCTCCGACCTCTCCGACCTTCTGCTGTTCCCCCCCCCCCCCCCCGCGAGCCCCTTTTCTGTTCGCCTCGAGGCGGCGGGGTGCAGGGTCGCTCGGGAAGGCCGTCCGCGGCTCCATGCGAGGAGGCACAGGTGCCAGCTGGCCCTAAGTGGCCCACATGAATGAGGATGGCACTCTATATCTGCCACTGCGATTGCCGCGGTCAGTGTGTGTATGTGTGTGCGCGTTGGTGTGTGTGTGTGTGTTTGTATCGGGCCCCTGTGTGTGTGTGTGGTCGTTGGTGTCGCTTCATGCGCAGCAGCACTTGCAGTCCCCCCGGCGTATCATGGAGCCCAGCATTCTGTCATTGTTTGGCCAGGCCTCCACGCTTCTGCTCGCCTTCCACATATAATAGCACAGTCAGAACTTCGGAATCATGCCTCGGGGGCGTCCAAGAGGTGGGCGTCCAAAATGGGGGGTGCGCAGGTCGTGGCCCGAGGCATGTTGAGGGGACGAGGGGGGACCAGGGGACGTATTGAAACAAGGAGAGGCGGCCATGATATTCCAGGAGATAGCATGGCCCCGGCCATGATATCCACCCCCTTCCCAGTCATCCCCCCCCCTTTGGACGCCCCCTCGAGGTGCAAGCTCTGCCGAGCTTCCAAGCTCAAGCACTCGTCGCGTTTTCGCAAACTTTCGCATGAAGGAAACGGGTTCTCGAGGCAAGCGAGCGTTTTCTTATTCGGCGTTTCGGCACTGGGCGGAAGGCAGAATGGAGGGGGGTCTGGCTCCGGACCTCTGCTCAGCGCCACTGTTTGCAACAGTGCGCCCCATGGGGGAGACCCCACCTGCTCGAAACATGCGCCAACAAATTCCCAAGATCTGCTCTATGGGGGGGGAAGAGGGGGGGGGGGGGGCGAGAGTTCGTGCCCCCCTTTTCGACCTCTTCTTTCGGGCCCCCGTCCGTTTCTCCCCCCCCGTACCTCGTCGGCCCCCTCTTTCGGAATGGCCCAGACGGTACCCGCGGGAGGGGGCCACTGGCAGCAACTCTGAGGAATCCACGTGCCATTAGGAGAGAGCGACAGAGAGAGAGAGGGGGTGTCAGGGCCCGCGCCGATCGGCAAGACAGTGAGTAAGCAAACGATCGCAAAGGGATCCTGGGGCAGTTGCTCGCTGCTTCCGCTCCTGGGGGGCCCTCGCACGGGCCCCGGGGGCGTCCGCACCCCGCTCGGGACGGAACGCCGGTCCTGGGGTTAGGTCGGGCATGCCCTCCTACAGGCGGATTTTGGACGAAAGATGAGACATAGTCAAACAATAAGCAAAACCAAAGTCGAGAATAGTCAGACAACGTCCCCAGACTATTTCTTGACAATTCTTGAATCTTCCCACGGGGGACATGCCAGACTTGGTCCCGGGGAGGGCCCTGGGGTCTGAGGCCCGGGTTCCTCAGGGCCCCTGTCCTTCATGTCCTCCTCCTCCTCGCACCCTCCCCCTCCTCCTCCTCCTCCTCCTCCTCCTCCTCCTCCTCCTCCTCCTTCTACTTCTCCTCCTCCTACTCGTCCTCCTCCTCTGGCCCCCCTCTCTCGCCCACATTTCCCCGCTGGGCAAACGACGCCTAGTCCTCCTGCCGCAATATGTCCTGAATCTCATCGGATCGCGCTCCTCCCCAGGGCCGCCTCCTTTCTCTTTGTGTTTTCTCCCGCTGTCCACGCGTTCCATGGGACCACCTCTTGATCTGTCTGCTCTGCCTGCGGAACATGGCTCGCATGCTGGGGGCTCTGATGATTCAATTTTAAGTCGTCGCCTCCGGAACAGACTTACGTCACTTCAGACTGCCCGAGTTTGCGATGTTCACGACTTCCTGAACGTCAAGATACGGTGAGGTCAGTTTTCGTAAGCTCGTGCCGCTCGCCTTGAAGCACTCCTGCTCGCCCGAGAGGCACAAGCGGCTAGTCAGACAGGAGCACTCCAGATAATATACAAGCGTCTCACTCGAAGCGGGAGAGGAGGAGAGCAAGTATGTCACGGCGACCAGTGCTGGGGGCAAGGGCTCAGAACTGAGCGGGAGCAGATCCTGGCGAAGGGCCCGAGCCTTAGCAGCTTCACGTAACTTTTATGTTGAGGCTCTGTCTGAAGGTCTGTCGCAGGGGCGCGATCTGCATGATGGGTGTGCCGGAATGAAGAGTGCGCCATGCGGGCGCGCCCCCTGAGGCCGTAGGAGGAGCTCCCTGTGGGGCACGATCCGGTGGAGTGGTTTGCCAGTATTAGAAAAAGGAAAAACCACATAAACATAAGCTTTTGGCGCTCCGCGCGGATTTCTTGGGATTCGGGCTGGACCCCTCTTCCTGGCGCGCGGAGCGCGCCAGGGGCGGCGCCGGAGGCGCCGCCAGGCGGGCCCAGCGCCGATCCAAGAAGTCTGCGCGGAGTGCCACAAGTTTATGTTTATGTTGTTTTTTCTTCTTCGAAGTGTGGGAGGCGGTGCGCCATGCGGGTGCGGCCGCTGGGGCCACAGGCGGAGCCTCCCCGCGGGGCCCGAGGCACGCGATGGGTACGCGCCGAGGTGGGAGGCGGGTGCGCGCGCCATGCGGGCACGGCCGCTAGCACTGCAGTTGGAGCTCCGTCTGGGGCCACGGCCCTCACGAGGGGTGCGCCAGAAGTGGCACAGTGCCTGCGTGCGTGGGCGCCCGCTCACGCCGTAGAGGTAACTTCCTCTGGGGCCGTGGTGCTGATGATGGGCGTGCCGAAATTGACGCGACGTCGCCGTGCGTTTGCGCCCAGTGGGTGGAGGTGCCTCCGGGGCAAGGGTCCTAATGAAAGGTCTGTCGAGATGTGTGATGTACTCCCACTGGGGTGGCATGAAGAACTCCGTCTATGTCCACAATCCTTGTGAGCGGTGTGCCGGAATTGGGTGGCGCCGCAATGCCTCTGCGGCCTCTGATATCGCAGGTGGTGGTCCCTATGGGGTCACGATCTGCGTCACTGGGGCCTCAGGTGGGGCACCCTACGGGGGCCACGAAACGTTTGAGGAGTGTGTCGACATGTGTAGGCGGAGAGCAGCGGCAGTGAGAGGAGGAGGAGGAGGAGGAAGAGGAGGAGGAAAGAGACGGAGGTGGAAGCAGGAGGGGCGCGTCGTTTCGGATTAAAAACGAGGACTCAACAACACAACAGGGTTGGTGACAAGCTTTTCTGCGACTGGGGAAGCCTGTCCCAAGGCATCGGGAACATTTGTACAACTACGTCGGCACGGCGGGATATAATCTTTCCAGCCGCCTCGGCACAGGCGTCCCCGACAGCGGACAAGGTCTCATGTGTACAGGTCTTCGTGCGCTAGAAAATGAAGATTGCTACCAGGAGGAGCTGGCTCGCGCCATGCGAAGATCCATCAGCATCGATTCTCGGGAACTCGGATCGGACCGATACACGTGCGCCCGACCGAGCTGCCTCGGCACAGGAGCGAAGTCGGATCGGCTCGGCCAGGATGCACATCTTAGCCTTGCAAACGTCGGGCCACATCGCACTGTCGTAGAGTACTCCGGATTCCATAATAAAGTAGGGGGGGTTACATTTGGCGGGGGGGTCTGATTTGAGCTGTCTTGAAGGGTTAGGGGGGGTCTGGGCAAAGCGCCGCCCTTTCATGGATGGTCTGGGGGGTCTAAAACTTGTGGTCTGGGAGGATTGTGACCCCCTCCCTCTTATTACGAAATCTGGAGTAGCCGCAATCGAATCGGATCGGGCCTGCCGAACTCGATATCGAGCCGGGTCGGTCTGATCGGCACGAGCCCCGCGGGGCCGAGGCGACGGGGCCCGACCCAGCCACCGATACGCCGAGCAGAGCTGGAGGAGCGCTGCGAGCTGCCGCTGGCCGGGGAGTAAAAAAAAATGCGAGCCTCGCGTGGAAGACGGCGCCCCCGTGCGCCATGTGTCGGAAGCTGGGCGAGGGCTGGCAAATCCGTGGCTGCTAGAACGGTCTTCCCGGAAGAAGCAAAAACAGATCCCCGGAATAAAACTCAACGCACTAGATAAGAAACGGGCTGCTTCCCGGAAGAAACAAAGATTCCGGGAGCTCCGTTTTAGCAGCCAAGGGTTTGGCCTGGCTACTGTGTGTTGCGCGCAGGCTCGGAGATTCGGGCCGGGCAAAAGGGGGGGATAGCAAAGGGGGGGTTGAGAATCGGCTCACGTAGCTGACTCTCCCAGCGCCTCCCGGCGCGGGGAGGCGGCCATGCATCGAGGAAGGGGCCCCTCGGCGGGGCCGAAACCAGCTGCATCCAGCAAATTTTGTACCCCCCCGTTCCCAATCCCCCCCTTTCGTCCGGCCCGACACACCCAGACCTTGCCATCGCTCGGACGTCCATTCCCCGTGCATGTTTCGGTTTCGCGCGTGCTTTTTGTTGCAAGGTGGTCCAAGATGCTCTAAGATTTCGTAACCCCCCCTTTCCCTATCACCCCCTTTCGACTGGCCCGAGAGATTGAGACGCCAGAGGTCTGGGTCGGGACCTCCCGTTGCATCGAGCCTGGTCCAGCTCGGGCATTCGAGAGATTGCTGATGCGTTCCCTCTAAATTAAGGGAAACTGGGACACACAAATAAATAGACACAAATAACCAGATTCCCTATACATGTTCCTATATTTTCTGGGTTTTTGTCTTCCCCCCACGTCCGATATTTTCCAATATTTTCTGGTTTTTTGTCTTCCCCCCACGTCCCATATTTTCCCATATTTTCTGGGGAATCGACGATTAATTGTGTCTGTGTGTCTTTTCCCCTCCCGACTTAAGGGACGCCGAGACCGCGGCGCTGCACCCGAGACCTCGAAGTGCGAGCGACTTCGTCGCGCGACGACCCTGCGGGCCAAGCCGAGCGGACTCGAGGCATCGGCATCGCCCGTCTCAAGAGTCCCTTTCCCTGGGGTTCTGTTGCTCCCGTCGTTCTTAAGGACCGCATCCCAGAAATAATTTCGAGCGCCCGGAAAAGTGTCGAAAGAGTGTCGAAACAGTGTCGGACGTGTCTCCCAGGACCCGACAGGTGAAAACCATTGAGTTTCCGTACTGTTTTGGGGGCTCGGGATTCTTTCCCGTGGTCAAGGCTACAACAGGTCGGAACATCATGACCCCGGCCCCCCTTTGGAACCACACGACTCGTGTAAGGCGGCGGCAATCATATCTTCACGCTCGCGCCGCCGGCCGGTTGAGAGCAGCCATCTGCGCCTGCGGTGCTCGGGGCACGAGCGGGCACGGGAAGAGGCAGGGCGACTGGGGGCTTCGAGCTCGGGACGACGACGACGTCGTCACGGTGCGATTGGCTCGGGCTGCGCTCCAGGAATCTCGCCATCGCTCGGACGTCCATATTCCGTGCATGCTTCGGTTTCGTGCGTGATTTTTTGGGGCTCGATGATCCAGGATGCTCCTCGATGGTCCTCGCCGAGACAAAAATGCACACGTCCGAGCGACGCCAGGGAATTCTGGCGGACCTGGCGGCCCTCTTGTCTGCAGCCCGTGCGGATAACCAGGGAATCTAGAAGCTCCTGGAAATCGTGGATCGTCTCATTGCCATGACCTCATGCTCCTCTGGGGGCTCGCGAGGACAGGACCAAATCGTACGAGGCCTTGGAGGTACGCACACAGCACTGCCTCATTCCACTGCTTGTCCTTCCACCTGCGCTTCGTAATCGCACTCAATTGCCTAATGAGGTATGGGGCCTGTATGTGGGGCGTTGTGTTAAATCATTGGGCGAAGCGCAGCGTATTGCCCAACCGACGCAACGTTGAGCGAGGTTCTACGACTGTTACACTGCATTGTCCAAGGGTGTAGGTGTATGGGCCGAGAGCAAGTCATTACTTCAACCCCGCACAGGAGCAGCACCAGGAAGAGGAGCCCTCCCCCTCGTCGTCGTCCTCCTCCCTCTTCGCCGCCCTGCAGCTGTCTGGGTACTCATCCCTCTCCTCCTGCTCCCCCCTCCCATCTTTGTCTGCGGCGCATCTTCTTGGGGGGACGCGGGCAGCCGAGGATCGGCGTGCCACAGCCTCTCGGTGCGGTGCCAGGGCCTTGGTGGGTACGAGTGGGCAGTCTGCGGCCCGACGCAAAACGACCAGATCGGAACGCACCGCGCCGAAGGGGCGGAGTTGGACTGCATACTCCCGCCCCCGCACGCTGATGCATAGTTATACCTGATTCTGGCTGTACTGCGCCGCTAAGCGTCCCGCCGAAGGGGGGAGGCAGGGAAGGAAGAGGGCTGACGCACCCAGCGAATTCGCACCAGAGGCGCGAATAATGAATCTTTCAGCACGGAGACCATAAGGCGGCACGCGCCACCTCCTCCCTCCTAGTCTGCGGCGAGCGCATGAGCACTGCAAGGGTTGCCTAGAAGGGGACACTGGGCACCTCCTTCGCAAGCAGGGGAAATCCTGGGGCTGTAGGACGTGCGGCCAGGCTTCTCTCAGGATGGAGCGTCTCACTGCTCAGCTGTGCCCAGGCGTCCCTCGCGTTGTCAGAGCAACATCGCATGCAAGCCCCTGCAAAGGAGGTGTTGTGAACGGGGTGGTAGCTAAGGGTGCGTTTTCAACTGCCTTAGAACAATTAAATTGCCGCGCGCATGTGCGATTTTGGCTCAAACCATTTTGGCTCAAGCAAGCCATTTCTCAAGCATCGGCACCGTCCCCTGGATTAATCCCGCCCCCTGGATTAATCCCCGCCCCCTAGATTAATCCAGCCGTTGATTTCTTGTGCACTCACCTTTACATCCTACTTTTACTCCTTCTGACCACACATCTTGCATCAATATCTTATTTCTCTCTTCCCGACCGCGCAGGCAGAAACAATGGAACAACGTACGACGTCCCCGACTACGTCAAGGCAGACCCGCAGGGCTGGCAACCCCAGTCAAGGACGTCTTGCAGCCAGCGGGGCGAGCAAAGCAACACCGGATCCACAGCCCGCTGCACGAGAGGGACGGCCTCTCCGACAAGGCCGACAGCGGGTCTGCAGTCGTACGCCAGCGCCACTTCCAGGACAGCTTGGAGGCCGCAGCCGCTACCGATGATGGAAGTAAAGATGGGGAGGCGCTCACGGTGGAATGCTTTAAAGAAATACTCCGGGCGCAACTTCAACCCATCCAGAACGACATCAAAGCGATCAAACAGCACGGGGTGTCACAAGATGATTTGAAGCGTGCAGTCCTTCCTCTTCAAAAAGATCTTGGCGACCTTGCTTCCCGCGTCGATGCTTTGGAGCAGACTTCCGGGGCATCTTCAGCGCGCTCCGGGGCGACCAATACCAGTCAGATGGAATACAAACTCTTGGAGCTGGAACGCCAAGTGGCCGAGCTCACCATCAGCAAGCAGCACGATTGTGTCGCAGTCATCGGTGGCCTCGGCAACTTCGACACGCTGCAAAACGCAACTGGGTGGATTCAGCAGCAGCTTCTCCGTCTTGGTACCCCGGATCCCGTGGACGTGTTCATCAAAGGCGGCTCCTTCCAGAACATCGCTTTCGCCAAATTCGATACAACAGCATCCCGGGACAAATTTGTAAACATCTTGGGGAGAGCGGAACTCAAACATGGGGAAAATGCGATCTGGACTAAGGCCGATCAGCCTTTGGAGAAGAAGGTACCCGAAAACTTCTTATTTGGATTACGTAAAGTGCTCATTGGGTTGGGGTATTCGAAAGGCGAAGTACGTGTGGACACGGTGGAGCAGAAACTCAAAGTTGCTAAGGAGCCTGTGGTGAGTGTGCGTGTTTCTGGGCCCGCTCTTCAAATTGAATGGCAAGGCCCCTGGGCACACTGGGCAAACCTCACGGGCAGCGCGGAAGTAGCTTCCCTGACCGAGCGTGCCAATTCTGCTTTGGAACGCGCCGTGAAGGGCGGTGGGAAGGGTAAGAAAGGTGGTTCGCGTTCCGAATAGGGGTCACAAAGGCGTATCGGCACCTTTAAGGTTTAAGGAAACATCGACGGGCAAGTGGGAAACATATCCATGTTGGCCAGTCGAGTGCGGCCGTATTGCTACCTGGAATGTCGACGGCATCAACTTGGAGCAGCCGCATAAGCTTTGCGAATTAACACGACACATGTGCAAGTTGAACATCAGTGTGTTGTGTCTTCAAGAGACACACTGCCGTGGTTCGCAAGTGTTTACATTCGAAGGGTATTTCATCATTCTCTCTGGGTCGGAGGGCGAGGGCAGAGAATACGCAGGAGTCGGATTCATAGTTGCGCCATGGGGCCGCCATGCGGTCAAAGGTTATCTTCTCCAAGATAGTCGAATGGCCAGCCTCCGCCTGAGGGTGCAAGGGGGTGTCCTCACGATCGTCACGGCGTACGCGTGGACCAACGAGCACCCTTACGACATCCGGCACGACTTCTTCACGGACCTATTGCGCTTTACAGCCAAGTGCAAATCCCATGGGCCTACCATTTTACTCGGCGACTTTAATGCTCGACTGCTACGGCGATACCCAGGAGAGCAAACAATTCTGGGACAGTATTTGTTTGAGAACCCACAGGGGCAATGGAAACCAACATCTAATAGAGTTATTGCTGGAACTTTGCACTGGCATGGAGGGTTGCGTCGCGAATGCGTTCTTCAACACGGGAGCTGAGGCCAAAATCACCTATTACGATCTCGGGGTGCACCCCGCCAGCGACATCCAGCCGGGACGTTTTGAGCAGCTAGACCACGTTATCGTTCAACAAAATTGGTTTTCTTCTGTTGTGAATGTTTGGAGCGACCGTTGGAGAGCATTGCCGTCCCACCACTTCGTCTTAATCGTGGATTTGGACATCAGCATACCAAAAGCAGACCATCACCAACGCCCACCTCGATTGAACATGGCAGAACTCCTCAATGTCAACACCGCTTGCAAGTACGCAGAGGGCTTCGTGGAAAAATGGAGGCAACAACCTGAACTTAGAGATCTTGATGCGAAAGCGTCGGCAGTGGCACAGTGCATGCTTGAATCCGCTGCTGCTGCAATCCCTCCGTGCGATGCTACGCCACGGCGGCCATGGATTTCCTCGAGAACGTTGCACCTCATAGATCAACGGAATATTACCAGGAACAATGGAGCAAACATGAACGAGGTCAAAATACTGAACAAACAGATCCAGGTGTCTGCTCGCGCCGACAGACGACAGTGGCTAGATGAGGCAATTGACAAAGATGGGTGGGGAACAATGCGATCTCTCCGGAAAAGACGAGCCGCGACGACTGGAAGACTCCGCGACTTGAGTAGCAATCTTGTGGATGCTGAACAAAGGCCGGAAACGATGGCGGAGTACCTCGAACAAGTACGATGGCGTGTGTGTCATGTTGGGCTGAATTTACCAGATATGGTTGCCGACAGTGGTTGCTGGCAAATGGAAACTGGAAGTATTGCGTTAGAAGAAGTAAGACGAGCTGTGAAACATCTTCGGGTACAAAAGGCGGCAGGCAGCGACGACGTTCCACCCGACCTTTGGCATGCACTATGGTCGAACAACGATGCCTTGGAAATTCTACGGGACCTCTGCGACGCATGCTGGCAGAACAAAGATATTCCAGCGCAGTGGCGGCAAGCGTCGGTTGTATCTATCTTCAAGAAGGGGGACACGTCGCAGCCGGGCAACTACAGACCCATATCATTATTAGCAGTCGGCTACAAGATCCTCGCCAGCATTATCTTGCATCGTTTCAAGGAGGGCGGAGCAGAAGAACGGTTACGGGAAACCCAGTATGGTTTCAGACCAGGCAGAGGAACTAGTGAAGCATTGTTTTTGGCACGCAGGCTGGTGGATGCTGCTCTTGACGATAAATATGGGAAGCTGCTTATTTTACTTTTGGATTGGAGTAAAGCCTTCGATCGTATCAAGACAGACGGCCTATTGTTCGCACTCCGACACTTCGGCGTGCCTTCGGCGATGCTCGACATGATTGCGGCGATCTACAGGGTGCGGCGGTTCGTTGTCAAAGAGGGCCCTCTTGTATCTTCACGACGAGTTCAAGAAGCTGGAATAGCACAAGGATGCCCGTTGTCTCCATACCTTTTCATTATTGTTATGTCCGTGTTCCTGGAGGCCGTGGACGACAAACGGGCAACCGACTGCGACAACTTCGCAGGCAAGCCGTACATCATCACAAACGACGTCTTGTACGCCGGCGACACGATGCTCGTGGCTGAAGACCAACCCGCCCTCCAGAAACATTTCACGACAGTTGCGCAAATTGGCAAAACGTTTGGTCTTGATCTACATGCCGGGAAACAAATTTTACTGAGAGTACGATCCAACGACACTGTGCTTGGGCCAAACGGCGAGGCAATCAAATGCGAAGAACATGCAGTTTACCTGGGCGGACTATTAAGTGCAGATGGGAGAGCTGGAATTGAGCTCACAAGGCGCCTGGGGGAAGCGAGCGGAGCATTCCGCAAACTATGCACAATGTGGAGCCATGCGAATATGAGCCGACGGCACAAATTGCGGGTGCTGCAAGCTTGCGTGTATAGTAAATTGTTATATGGGCTCGAATCTTGCATGTTGCTGAAAGCGGACCGGGATCGACTTGACAGCTTCCAAGCAAAATGCTTGCGAAAGATTTTCAAAATAGCGCCAACTTTCTTGTCTCGCGTCAGCAACGCTGATGTGCGGGCGGCAGCGGAAGCATGCCCGTTATCAATTTGTTTATTACAGCGCCAATTGAACTTTTATGGTAAGCTGGCAAGGGGACCGCCCGGCAGCCTGCCCAGAGCAATGGCGTTTCAAGCTGGACAAGACCACCGTATTCTGCCCAGGGACTGGGGCACGCCGCGCCTCAGAAGGGCGCCCTCGTTTACAGTGGAACGCCTACATGCACGCTCAAGCCCTGGCTGTGGCAGGAACCGACCCCGACAGATTGCAAGCTCTACTGCGTGGAGCGCCGGGGCAATGGAACGCAGCTGTTGTAGACTACTGCTTTTCATAGTGATACGAATCCGGGGCCCAGATGATACGAATCTGGGGCATGCTTGTATCACTCAGCCCCCCCTCCTCCTCGTCCTCGTCCTCGTCCTCGTCCTCCTCCTCCTCCTCCTCCTCCTCCGGCGCACTGTAGCATACCTTCGCGCTTCGCTGGGGCAAAGAATTCCAGCGTACGCTTCCGAGGCACTGCAGGGGAGCGTCTGCGCGAATCCCGTTATAATGCACATGTGTTTCACGTAGCCAATTTTCCTGCCGATGCGCCGTTCAGGCGCGGCTCTGTGTGTGCGCGCATGTGCGAGGCACCCCCCCCGCTCAGAGTTACCATGACGTGCCGACGATTTTGTCGCCCCGATTCATCAAGCACTAGTGCGAGGTAAATGCCCTGTCACCCTGCACTCGTTCGTAGAGGCCCCCTAGCTTCCACTCCGTTGACTGACACCCCGTTGGCAGGGGCTAGGCAAATCCACATGAGCATACAGTTTTGGAGGTCCGCGCGGATTTCTTGGATCGGCTCTGACCCCCCTTCCTGGCGCGCTGGCTCACCAAGTGTGGCGCCAGGGGGGGACCAGCGCCGATCCGAGACATCCGCGAGGACCTCCGACAACGCATGCTTGCGCAATGGTTTGCTCTCCGTCCTGTTGCGAAGGCTCACTCCATCCACAGACTGTGGGCAACGGGTGAAGCCTTTTTCTGTGGGGAGTGCGGGAAGTGCGGCGCCAGCCAGGTCACGGACCAGATGCAGGCCCCCCTCAAGGCGTAAAGGACTGGGGCAACGGGGCTCTCCAACAACCAAAGCAAAGGCCTCCGAAGTGTGCTGTTTGCACCGCGCCGCAACGAGTCCCATCAATGACGCTTCAAGCGTCGTGCAAATGAAAAAAAAACAACCGACCAAATCCGCATACTTGCGAAACTGTTCCGTAATTTTACAGGCTGCGCTTTTACAAACTCCGGGCACCGCCTGAGCAGGGCTGCAGGGGGCAAGGGGGGCAGGCAGAGACCAACGCCAAGGAGAGGCAGGAACGCGAGCCAACTTCTTGCCACTTCGAGCATGCCGTCTTCATTATTCGAGGAGGAAGCCCCGGAAGCCTGGATGCTCTGTGCCAGCGCCTGGTATTTCTCCTTCGTCTCGTCTGGCAACGACTTGTCCGACACCCGCTTCAGGATGTCCTCCAGGCACAGGTGCAGGCGGATGACGAAGGAGAGGATGAGGATCATGATGAGGATGAGGAGGTAAGACCAGCAGGAGGGAGAGGAGGAGGAAATGGAGGAGGAGGAGGACATGAGGAGGGAAAGGGAGGATGAGGAGGGGGAGGAAGAGGATGACGCGGGAAGGGGAGGATGAGGAAGAGGAGGAGGAGGAGGAGGGAAGAGGAGGACTTGGAGGAAAAGGAGGAATAGGAGGATGAGTGACGAGGAGGAACGGGGAGAGAGGCAGAATAATGATGAGGAGACAGGTCGAAGAACAAATCCTGCCCTTGCACAGCGAATCCACACACCGCACTGTACGTAGCTGGCGGTGGCGAAGCCGATCGAATACAGGGACGTCGAAGATACAGAAGGACACGACCGTCGCGCCGCCTAGGATATAGTAACTTCCACTGCACTGCCGAGCGGCACACGGAACTAGCAACACATGGCGAAAAAGGAAAAGGACGCGCATGGGCATCATTACATGGCCCAGCGTGCGCCAGCATGTGCGCCATTCATTACCATCATCGGCATCAGCATCATCAGCACAACCATCACGAGTAACATCACACTCAACATTATCACCATCATCAGCATCTTTGTAAACATCACCATCACCACCATCATCGCCACCATGTGCATCATCAGTACCATCGCCATCGCCATCGCCGTCATAACCAACATCCACATCAAATATCATCAACAACGTGAACACCATCACCATCATCATTGGCACCGTCATCGTCACATGAATCGCATTCGTGGTCGTCGTCGTCGTCATCACCATCACCATCACCATCGCTCTCACCCTCGCCCTTACCTTTACCCTCAACTCCCATCATCAGCAAAATCATCACCACCATCATCACCAACGCAATCACCATCACCACCAGCACCATCAATACCATAATCAACAGCACAATGGCCACTATCTCCATCATCTTAATCAAATTTATAATACTCATTCCCACCACCATCATCATCACCATCATCATCATAGTCACCGCCACCATCATCACCATCATCAGCATCATCATAGTCACCCGCAGCATCATCAACATCAAGATCGGCGTTCTCAGCATCGGCATCCTCATCATCATCATCAACATCATCATCATCATCATCACCATCATCATCATCATCATCATCATCATCGCCATCATCGACATCACCATCATCATCACCATCGCAATCACCATGGCCATCATCTCCATTATCATCATCGTCACCAACACCGTCAGTATCGCCATCATCACCGTCATCGTCATCGTCATCGCATTCGTAGTCTAAATCGTCGTCGTCAGTATCATAGCCATATCCCTCACCATCGCCCTCACCCTCATCATCATCGGAATCGCCATCATCAGCATCATAAGCACCAGCATCACCACCACCATCTTCATTATAGCCACATACCATACCCATAATCATCGTCACCATCGTCATGGGAATGGGACTCTGCAAGCGTCAACAGAGATCAGCTGAAACTAAAAAAAGGGACAGGGCTTCAACCCCATTTGAGTTACAGCTCCATGTCAGGGAGCAGCCTGAATGCCTACAAGAGGGAATGTACGCATCGAGCGCTGGGGATGAGGGCCCACAGGCGATTCGTGGCGTCCCCTTGGTGGGAGACCCGAGAGCAACGACGCACCACCGATCTGAGGGCACTGAATTTGAGGCAGGGTTGCATTCGACTGTGGAGGAAGGGAACAGGCGCAAGAGGGGAGGCAGGCGACGGAAGCAGAGGCAACCACAACTTCTGACAGGCCCGACCTTCGAATTGCTAATTCCGACGGCGGACATGTTACTCTCTCTCTCTCTCTCTGCAGCACCCGCCTAATTGTTTGAGCCGATGCAATGCTTGAGGGAGTTCTCTCTGGAAGGACAAGGCCACATATCATGACAGGCCCTGCATGCACTCCAAGGACGAAAGGAAACATGGCATCCTCGATCATGTCTGGAAGAAGGCCGTGGCTCACAACCGCATCATCGTCATCGATGCCCGCAAGGGCGCCAGGACAGAAGCATGACATAATGTCAGGGAAAATGAAGATCCCAAGAACCAAGGCGCAGTTCGGCGCCGCCGAGGCGAAAACGACCCCGTCGAGGACGAACGGGGCCCCGTCCACGGGGCGCGACACCAGGTGGGGCAGTGGCCGACGGAGGTTCGCGGCAACGGCCAGGGCAAACTCATCGCCGGGAGCGACGCAGAAGCAGCACACGACGCCGTACCAACACCCCCCAAGTCGTCGACGCAATGCACGAGGTTGCCCAACGCAACTTCCACGGCAATAGTGACCGAACGAGAAAAACCAGCCTTCATCTCTGTGCCCAATGGATCAACAGAACCCGTGCTGTAGATCGCTATCGAGGCGTAGCTGTCGTCACCGGCGTCCGTGACTGCACCTTGTGAAACTTCAGCGTTTCCACCTTCCCCCAATGCACCGCCAGGGTGAGCGGCGATCAGGTCGTGGGCGCACCCTAGCAGGATGGCAGGCAAGCCAGCAGCAGAACGCGGGCCCAGCGCACACTCGGCGGCGACGGTAGGCACGTGGGCGTCAGCATCAGCTCTTAGACCAGACGCCGAACCAACGCTAGCAGCAACTGCGTCGTCGTCCTCAACAATCTCATCACCCAGACAACCTCCGCGCGAAGCGGAGAGCCTTGGACCATATTCACGAGCACGGTCACGACGGGCGGCCAAACGAGCAAGCGAATTGCTATGAACCGTTGCCACAATGAAACAAGCCGACATGCGAGGCGCAACCACCGGGGCCCAGCTCGATCCGAAGCTGGCTTGAGCCAGAATGGCAACGGAGGAGAATGGTGAAGGGGAGCGGCGAAGATGATCGGGGAGGAAGAGGGGAATAGCAGGGCAATGGGGAGGGGGCGGGAATGGCGGAGGAGGAGAGAGAGAGGACGGCGGCGGCGGTGCCACTGGACGAGAGGCCAGCAGACGTCGCAGCCTAGGGCAGCGCGGGCCGTGATGATGACGACAAGGCCCGTTTGGGCAGGGAGGGGTGGCACGGGGGCACAGGAGGGCAGGACTAGACGAGCGCGTTCCACGACTCGCAAAGTCACTACTCGCCAATGGCCTGGATGCGCCGCGGGGGATCCACGATAAAATACATCGATGCAAGCATGTGTTTTTGTCGGACGTATGCGAGTAGGCACTTCGCGAGTAGTGGAACGCGCTCGGTGAATGACAGGACATACGTGAGCAGATGTAGCAGGAGAGGAGGGGGCGCAGAAGCAATGCCGGATCTCCAGGGGTGGGGGAGGAGGTCCAGGGTTTGAGACGTTGTTTGTATCGTATTTGCCTCCAGGGGCACCCAGAGGGGTAGGAAGAGAGGAGAAGTTCGACGCCTTCTCGTGTTATCGGCTCACCCTGGGGCGCCTTCGTGGCTGCGGCTGCGATCGCGTCGACATCACCTAATCAAGACGCGCTCCAAGACAAATCTGAAGGGTCGATGCTGGGGGGCGGAGGAGTTGCACGGGAGGACGCCAACGATAACACTTGCCAGCGATCCTGGTCAGGCTCATCACCTCTTGTCGTGGTCCGAAAATCATGTCATACGTCGTGTCCAAAACAATCCATGTTGTCGGCGTACTTGGAGCCAGCGTCCACGATGACCCCGTCGCGCACGGTCCAGCCTTGGCAGGCCGTTGACGTCAGGAGCTTGATGTGGAAGACGGGGAACCCCGCGCGGATGATCTCGTGCCTGTGGAGATCGAATGCACCGCGCGCCTGCGGCTCGACGAAGACCAGGCGCGCCGCGTGAGTAGCGTCTGCCTCGACCCGGTCTCCCGAACACTTGCCGCCGAAGGAGGCAGCCTCGCGTGTGGCCGTGCGGGCCCACGCGCCGAACGGCTCCTCGTCGCGAGAGTCGGTGGCCACGTGCGCCACCTGCCCCTCAGCGTCCTTGACCAGTCCGCGCCAGATGCACAAAATGAACGGGCAGCATCACACGCATGCAGCCCGCCGCGCCAATACTGACTAGGCATAGGAGGACCCCTACGCCTTTGGGAGGCGATCTGACCTCGGAGGGCCAGGGACGTTAGGGATAGGGGGTCTGCTCTGCAGACTTATTGGCCCTAATGCGAAAAAGTGGGCCTCAGTGAGGCCACGTCTTCATCGTATTCTTAGGGTTTGGCTATTTTTGCTCTCGATGACATGCTGGCCCGGTTCTGCAGCTGCGCGGCCGTGTCCGTGGGCAGCGCGGGCGGGGACGCGCCGGCGGCCTGCGCGACGGAGCGCGCCTGCAAGAGTGTGTCGGCGCCCCTCCTCGCCCGCATCGTCAGTCCGCGGGCCACGGTGCCCCGGGGGGCCCGAGTGCGGTCGGTAGCGCCCGCAGGGGCGAGATATCACATGGACGTGCCAAGGGAGACCACGCCGGTGGACCTCCTAGGCGCGCGGAAGTGTCGACAGCTGTGCGGTCTCATTCGCATGCGCGCAGGAGGAACCCACCTTAGTGGGCCTCCCATGGACATGGACACACTTTCGGGGTCTCATGTTGATCGACGCAGGGCGCTAGTATATTGGACGCCCCGAGTGCTCGCGACAATTGCGACATTTGCGCGGCGGGTGGCGTGCGGGGATGCGAGATTCCATTTGGATGTGCGTAGGGATCCACGCCGCTGGACCTCCCAACAAGCCGCGAACGTGCAGACATTTGCCAGCTGGCGGCGGCCATGTGTGAGCTCTCACGATCTGCGTAGGACAGCACCCCGCTGGACCCCCCAGCAGCGCACGAAAGAGGCGTGAGTTGCGCAGTTGTCATCTCGGGAGGGGGGGCGAGGTCCATCTTCGGATCTGGGGAGGACACCACTCCGCAGGACCTGCCAGCTCGCGGAAGTCGCCACACCTGTGCAATTGGCAGCGCCCAGGAATCCGAGGACTCAATTGTATCCGCGTATGGCGTTATCATCACGCTGGACCCCTCATGAACTCAGAAAAATTATGACTGTTGCGCAGCTCG